AAATCAGTCTGCACTGTCTCTATAGGAACTGCATGGGGCCACCGAAACATGAGCTTCCACTCATTGAGAAAAAAACTCTCTGGTACACTTCTGAACCAGTGTGCTGTCTTATGTCAACGAATTGTCTTTGTTCAAGGTCTTTCTTCAGCATTTAACACAAGATATCAAACTCACCAGCAGCACATAGTACAAATCCTGCAGAGGATATATATATATATATTAAATGAGCTTAAATGTTGTTGTTGTTTTACTGAAACAGATATGATCATTGAAACATTTACGCTAAAGACCACAAGATCACTAAAACCACCTCATTCTGATTTGATGTTGGTTCATCAAAGTGATGATGTGTACTAAACTTCCATTCTCAGAGCCTTTGCAGTGTCTAATAAAAGAGTGTACTGAGATTCAGCAGGGACAACTTTGTGTGTCCATGAGGAATGAAAGTGGTGGCGGCAACGCTGCCAGCTGCTCTCTACTCAGGAAAATATGTGTTAGCAGCTCAACATTTCAGAGGGCGATGATATCATACTCTATTTTGCATTGGTGGCATCGGTCATGTGAGCAACAGAGAATGCAAAGTTGCGAGAGGAGAAGTATGGAAAATACTGTGACGGTCAATACATTTCCCTGCAGTTTAGAAACATAAGTGTTGTTATTGGCAAACTTACAGTCACGAAGCTGTGGGACAATGGCACAAGTCAAAACTCCCTGTACTAAGAGAGAAGAAAAGGCCTGAACCAGGAAGAGCATTGAGGGGGGGGGGGGGGGGGGGGGGGGGTGGAAGGTCAAGGTGGCTGTGTCTCCCCCTCTCTGTGTGTGTCCCTGCAGTAAACACATCTCTATATCTTCAGTGTATTGTCTCGAGCTGACAGCAGCTCAGCCACAAAGAGGTGTATTGTTTTCTGTGTGTGTGTGTGTGTGTGTGTGTGTGTGTGTTTGTGTGTGTGAGAGAGTGAGAGAGGAAGGACAGGATTGGAAACAGGAATACTAATGGTTTACTCATTTCACTGTTGGCAGGTTAAGATCTTCATTCCAGATTCCAGTTGTGGGAAGGGATTACTAGTTGTACTTTTCTTTACGATAATAAAATACACTAAATCATTGTCATCCTGTTTCTCTTATATCTGCAAACTTCAGACTGTAAATGTTCCTAACATCCACTAAAAAGCACCATTTCCACCTCATCAGCAACATCACACATCAATAAGAAAATGTTACAAACAATGTAAAAGCTGCAGGTTAATAAATCTCTGGGAGCTCAACATCTGCGATAAATACTGAGGCACGAATGTATTGCAAATATTCAAGTCATGGATGATGAGCAAATGCACAACACATGCACTAAAGCATGTGTGCAAGTGTATTCGGGGTGCGCCTGGGAGTTGTCTCTCCCTCCTAGCGCTCTCTCTCACACACACAAACACACGTATGCACTCACATACACACACACTTTAAATCAGACAAAAAATTATGAACATATTGCAAGACTACATAGGCTGCATATAAAAAGAACCTAAATAATCAAGACTGCTAGTTATAGGTAAGCAAATGTACAACCACTCAAAAGGCTTTTAGATATGTGACTATTTTAAAGTTTAGAACACTTTACTGGCACATTTATCTAGCAAATACAGAATATCTGAAAATACCATGTAGTAAGTTCTCCTTCCACTTGTACTTTTAAAACCTACACAGCTCAGTTCAAAGGCTGCTGGAGTTATGGCAACACTTCACTATAAAACCCCCCAGTCAGCATTTACACCATGTAATAAAGGTGTTATCGAAGACTGTAATGTGCAGTTTACATTTGAAGCTTTTATCAATACACACCTCTTGTGAAGACATATAACATTACATCTGTTTAATGCTACAGCACTCAGGGTCCAGAGGAGGAGTGATCATATTAAATACATTAATAAACACTTCTTAAAGTATATTTATATAAATATGATCTAATAATAATAAGAAGAATATATATATAGTGCTTTATAGTGCTCTAGCATTTTCTATTTAAAGAATTAAATGTATATTTTTTTTCTTTTTGGCAACTTGAAGCACTTTAAAGAATCTTTATGTGAGTTCACACAGTTTTAAAAATGGACACTCTGAAGGAAATCCGCCGTCCGGGAGTCTTCAACTTCCCAGTGACCAGCCCGCCCCTGTGTGCGGCTCACAGTTTGATTCCCTGTCCACTCACTGTGTTGTGTTCTCACAGGGTGGTGAGCTCTCAGCAGCTGTAGTAACTCTATCAGAACATGGATCTGCAATCAATGGACGATCCAGTCATTAGAATCAGCAGGTCTGCTCTGTGCTCACTGAAGACAGCAGCTCTGTTCTCTGGACTCTCAGCTGCAGATGTGTATCCAGCTGTGACTCCAGAAGAAACTCTGTCCAATGCGTTTGAAAGATTGGAATCAATGAAAAACTCACCGGTAACATTCCTGCTGCTGTGACACAACCCTCCTCCTGTCCCGTCCCGTTAGACCAACTACTTCTCCTCCTCCTCCTCGACTCCTCTCTTCTCTTCTCCTCTTTTAAGGTGTTGTTTTTTTTAATCCAGCCTCGTCCTCTGGTTTCTGGTATTCCTCCGTTCATCCAAACTAGTCTTCCTCTTCCTCTTCTGTGTCTGTAGATCCGCTCAGATCTCCAGATGCTGTGAGAACCTCCAAAAAACTCCACTTTCCTCAGTTCAATCCCTCCCTCTTCCTCCCTCTCTCTCTCTCCCTCACACACACACACACACACACACACACACAGGCGGTAAGGGTCTCTCTCTCCCTTCCTTCTGTTTTAAGACCACAGATGAAAAACAGCTGGATGGGAGAAACGTGGAAACAGCCGCTGCAGCTTCACTATTCAAATCTCTGTGACTCTCATCCCCTGGTCATGAGTGGGTTGGTGTGCATGGTGAAGTGGGTCACCGTCCCGATCATCCCTCCTCCCATCCGCCACCACCTCCCTCCCTCCCTCCCTCCCTCTCACCCCTCCATCTCTTTCCTCCTCCTCCTCTTCCTCACAATATAGCCTCCAGGTTCATTTACACGTGGAGGAAAACTAGGTGGTGGAACAATCAACCAATGTAACAATCAATGTTATTTTCCAGACATGCTTTCCATTCACTTTGTGTAAGAGCGCCCTCTCTAGGCAGAGTGTGTTAGAGCACTTACAGAGATAATGACGTTTCAAGGCTGTGCTAAGTTATATATTTTTGAATATTTGTATATACTGAGCACTTGTACAACATGGTGATATTGATCTAAAATGTATTATAGATGTAGGGTTTTAAAACAATCCGAGAGAGTAGAGTTATTCACATCCTCCAAGGTTTGTAGCAATATTACATAATGTAAAATATATTATGAGACTGCTGTTAATGCTTTTTTGTAACAGATTTGAAAAACAGATTATAACTGATGTATGTGTTCAATTCAGTGTGCAATCAATTTCTTCTGGTGACATGGTCCAACTGCAAATGCAGTACGAAGAGCAGTGCCTTTTACTAGGACATTGATGCACACACGCACACACACACACACACACACACACACACACAGTCAGCAACTTTAGAAATGTTCAGCTGTCATAAATTCAGCAGATTATCACAGAGCTGTCCACAGCTGCCAAGGACACTGTAGAGCTGTGTGTGTCTGTTTGTCCATTTGGAAGTCACACAGTACAAACATTACAGTACTTAGCACATTTTGTGTGTTGCCGTATTTGTCATGTGTCCTGCCTTGTAAGCATAAATAGACTCAGTCTCCTGGAAAACAATGATCAAGTATCTATTCAAAGTACAGATGACTTGAGAAGTATCCCCCCGTTTGAGAGGACATTATCACCATCTACTGTTAACAGAAGCAAACAACACTAGCTGAAAAAGATTTGAACTTGGCTTTTGAACAATTTAATTCGATAAATATGCGGCTGCTAGTTGAACATCTTTTCTTTTTTTTTGAACTTTCACTTGATGCCCAGCGATGTGAAAATATAAACTAATGGATTGGTACGGATGCTCAGCATTCTTGTAATTATACCGGTGATTGTTTTCCTCTGAGAATAAGTGACTAGAAGTTGTTATCTGCATCTTCATCACTGTGTATACACTCCCATCCTGTTCTGTCCTTTAAACATGTGAACAAAGAGAACGTTGTTTGGTTTGTCTAAATAGATTTGTGTTGTCTCTGTTGCTACATTAGTGTTTTTAACATATTTCTTTACTGTTTCACAACTCTGTCCAGCACATTGTTGTACATGTATAAGATTTTGTGACACTAATTAAAGCTAAAGTTGGTAAATAAATAAATCTAATATTAACTTTAAACATCCACCAGAATATAATGTGGATCTCGGTTTGCTGTGGATTTATCATTTAAGGAAACAATGATGATAAATATTTTCCTTTAGGTTCCAGCAAGCAGTTTCAATGTAATCATCGATTAATCAGTCAGTTATTGTTTTTTAACCACATCACCAGCTAGAACTCTTCCTAAGATGCGTTAAAAAACTGGGTCTTCACCACAGTTCACGGACATTTATTGTGTTTATTCACTGTGGCTCTTTTGTTCAAGGTTAGTCCCTGTGCGTGTGTTGCCAGGTCAGTCAATAAAGGCAGTCAGCCTTGAATCATCCATTGGCTCCATGTGATGCTGTGATTCCACCCTGACAGACACATTCAAACAGTATCGCCAGAGCCAGAGGCCATCGCTCACTGTCTCTCACACACAATCTCACAGACTTCACTGAGGTCGAGGGCAGGCTCAGCCTCACGTTGGGCATCCGTGAGGTTAACGCTACAGATCAGCATAGTGTACATATATATTCATACATAAATATTCATTTAAATAAGTATTTTAAATGCATTTTAGGAAATGCGTGACACTGAAATGATCACTGTTAATGGTTGTTTTCTGAAGTTCACAACAGACACAGACACAATACTGGACAGTTTTCAAAAAGAAAAAGGAAACAATAACCCACAACAGTTACAGTACTAAACACTTTAATTTTTCAAGACTAATTGAATTTTTTTGTTTTTTCCCAGCAGACGAACATTTCACAAAGAAACACAGTGGAGTCAATAAATAAACACAAAGTACAAATAGATAAGAGGTACAAGGGAAAGAAAATAAATAAGAACATCACAAAGACCAACAGCATCTCACAAACACAGCAGCTGAGCAGACGGCCATGTGGGTACAGAGCTGGACAGAGACAACGGCCATTACGTGTTCAGTGGCAGCCATGTTGGCTTCACAGTCCTGTTCCACGCTTGTTGTAGAAACACAGAAGGTTTTTGGAAGATTGTCCTTTGAGTTCAGTTAACTTAGTGTTAGTAAAAGCTCATCAGTCCTGCTTTGTTAAATGTCACTTATACAGCTACATAACATGCTCGTGTGTTAACACATTTCCACTCAATATCATTGAGCACTTGCATCACACGGCGCGTGCTAACACTCAGACACTGTGTCGAGTGAACGCAACACCGCAGCCAACGACTGAGGACATGTCAGTTATTCTGTTTGTTTTCAACATCTAAAAGATGATAATCTACCAGAACCTTTCAGTGTTCTTTCAAGAACACATTCATCAAGTCATCTTTAACATTTTGGCTGTGTTGCCGTGGTGACACGAGGAAAGATGGTGTTTAACATTTCCAGCCGACGTGACTTTGCTCTCGAGAAGCAGACTGTGCTTCTATGACTGACAAATACTAAGTAGATGGATTGTGATGTTGTTTGCTACAACATATCTCAGATTTTTAAATGTTTTCATCTTCTGAATACATTTGAATTCTGTATCTTTCTGTGCCACAATCCAGCTGCGGGATATACATTTGGTCAGTAATTGGAAAAATTAAAACAAAATAAAAATAATCAGTGAGGTTTGATGTGCAATAAACCAGCATGCTTCTGAAAGCACATACTGCCAACTATTTATTCAATGCTAAATCATTTTAATTGTGTCACAATTCTCAATTAGAAAATCTCTGTTTACATCAGCAGCATATATTCTAGCTGCATCTATACTGTAACTTTGAATGTAGAGGATGACTTTTGTGATTGTTTTTCCATTTTTACAGCCAAAAAAACTTCACAGTTCACAGTGACAGTTAAAGGTAGGTATATTTCAATCCACAATACATTTAGCCAAATTCTGCCAATATCTCCTGCGACCGTTAGCTGTACACTTTGTTCGTGGGCTCAATAAAATCTGGTTTTGATAAAAAACCCTGGCTCTGTATTTGGGAAACAAAGATAGCGGGGTGAACTGAATAGTACAACACTGTTCCACCCAATCCGCCACAAGCTCATGCTCAACATTACCTGTTACATCTTAAATGAGATAATGTTATCATTCAAGTGTCTTCTACTATCGAGGGATGACGTGAAAAAGTGGCATCAGATAACGAACACAGCCACAACTGTTTTTCAGAACAACTACTGTTGGCCACTGGAAATGCTAACACTGCTACCTCACAGGATTGTATAACCACAGTCATTTTCACAGTGGTGCTCCAAATGCTAAGTGCGGAAAAACCACAGACTACAACAAACCCAAATAGGATAACAAAATATCAAAAAGGTGAAGACACGCGTGAACATCGGTGAGTGGTTCAAAGGTGGAGACCACAGAGTTGAACAGGATGAAAAGGGTTAAAGAGGTTGCTGTGTTTCTGTTTGACGTGTGGGTAACATTAATTCGCTCTCATTTGCTCAGTAAATTGTCCCATTTGCTAATCCCATCTTTTTGAGATCAGTGGTTCACCTTGGTGTGTGTGTTTACCGCACCTTTAAAATGAGATCTGTCAGACTGTGGGTTTTCTCTTTAATGCATGACTTGTGCAGTTCTGCTTAATGTCTAGGTGAGGTTACAGTCAAACGAAATAAAAACCTCTTTAAAATCTGAATTTGCTTGATTACAGAGAATATTTGCAGAACTTCACAGTGAGGTCTTTAACATTTCTGAACTTACATGAAGTGCTTTGAATAATTATCAAGGATTAATATTAACAGAAACATTTTACCAAACAAGTTATCTCTCCTACGAAGTTGCGGTGAGGCTGTTTTGGGGTTGTAGATTCCTACTGTATACAGCAACTCTGTCCGTTGGCGTCTTTGGAGCGCAGACACAGTTTAGGTTTGTAGTTTTCAAGATACAGCAGCTGCTTGGAGTTGAACGCACCACGACGCTTCCTGATAAAATGAAAGAGTCGTAACAAACAAGAAACAGGCATGAATAATTACAGGGATGGTACTGAACATGGTACAGAGCAGTTGTTATTCAGATTAAGTGAAATGAGAAAAAACAGCAGAATCAAAGCCTGATACTCACAGTCTTATGAAGTGCACCGCATCTTCATATTCCATCCCACACTCAATTAGAGCCAGGGCCACCAACACAGGAGCTCTGAGGACACAGAACAAATAGACACAAGAGTACAGCCATGAGTTTGGGAAGAAAGAAACAACACTCCACATTAAAACAGTTGATATACTCAGTTTGTGCCTTATTATTTAGTTTGAGCTTTCTTCTTTATGAATTAAATGCCTTATTACTTTGGACCCCTGTAGCCACAGATCCAGGGCAATGACAAACAGAGCGCAAAAAAGCAAAAACTAAATCTTCTGAGAGAAGGGTGGCAGTGGTGGATTAATACATTCATATTGCCACAGGCTACTTTTATCGTACATTATAACTAACACAGTACTAAGTGGCCAGTGGGCCCAGGCCTGAAAGAAACATCACGCTGTCACATGTGGTGTTATGCAGACAGTTTCAGTGGCCCACTAGGAAATATCTAGGTGAGCACACACACATGCACGTTTTACAACCGCAGTACAAACAATTTATATTGAATTCCAGAAGAAAACACCAATATTTCAAGTTACATATTAAAGCTCCAATAACATTCACCATAGCCTCAGTGTCCTACTGGCTAATTAGCCAACGCTAGGTAAAAGTCCAACAAATATGAATAAACAGCTGATTTAATGTTACTTTTCATTCCAACACCTCCTTCAACACATGTTTATATTGTTACTGACCAGGACACAGTTGTAAAGAGAACCGGGAACCAAGTAGATAATCTAATTTTTATCTGCACAGATCTCATATATGTCTGTGTAATCCAGTTCCAGGAAAAATGCATCAGAGCAATAGAGAACTTTAATCTCTCTATTTATTATCAGATTTTTTGTAAATCCTCCAATATCAAAATCAGCATCAGCTTTAAAATCCTCTTTCATGGGCTCTAGATTGACATTAAGTGCATCAGTAACTGATGAAAAAAAAAAGCTGACTTGGGTTGCCATTAGTTTGTTTTGGCATTTTGTTCATAGCTTTATTTATTCAATCCTGTGTCTCGTGCATACTGACCGTCCCAGTCCTGCAACACAGTGCACAGCCACACAGCAGCCAGGCTCATCTCTAAACTTTGTCTGCAGCAGGTTCAACCAGTCGTCCACCACCTGGTCTGGAGGAGCTGAGCCATCATCAAATGGCCAATCCTGGAATGAAAAGGAAGTCTTTATTTAATCTGCTGTTTAACCTGCTAACCCGTCATGGATTTGTGGCAACTAGACTAAAATTGCCAACATGTTATCTATAAAAAAAAATCACCAGTTAAGTAAATCCGTCCAACTTATATATAAACCACACACACATAAAGCATTTCATGAAAAACATTGACTTTAAAATCTTCATTGCAAATATAAACCAGGTAGTTTTCTAACTTCCCTCTGCACCATAGACTGTTTATAAAAAGCTCTGCACAAAACACCCAGCACACAAACAAATCAAGGAACTTTTCACTCAAGTCATCACTAATGACAAAGAATAATTCTGAAGTAGCTCCAGAGCATCAACACAGACCAAGAGAACAAAACATTTCAAACAGACAGGTTTAGAACGGGCACTGCACTAGTCAGCTTCAATAGCAGATTCACATTCATCACTTACCAGGACCTGTATGCCTTCTTGTTCCACCGGTGTCTTGTCATATGTAGCAGCACACACTCTTACCAAGGTGTTAACGCCATATGCCTTCAGATCCTATCAGAGCACAGTCATTTTTAAAGATACCATGACATCCACAATTACATTACAGCAATGAAATGTGATCTAAAAAATACACTACCTCTATAAACCTTCCCAGTTGTGCATTGGTGGGGTTGTGCGTGATGAGGAATCTCAGACAGTCATAGGAGATCTCCACTGGAGCCGGTCGGTTCATTTTTAGACCAACAAAGGTTTGTTGATAAAGAATTAAAGTTAAGAATAGAAGAGCGCTTTGTTTTAAAAAAAGTAAAAATCTAGAATATTAAAAAAAAAAACTTAACTAAAAATATTTTATGGGCAACTAATGGATATATTCTACTCCTTTGGCAACAAAAAGTAGGTTGAATTAAAAACACAGAAGAGAAAGATAACTATTTCAGAAAAGTTGAAAATCTAAACTTGGCAGTGAAGGAAAAAATTAAATTGATTGCTTGAAAACTTTAATTTTAATTTAGAAGATTGAGACGAAGATGACTGGAGAGGACACCTAAAGTCCAGAAAAAAAGATCTATCCTTCTTTCCTTTCAAATCTGTTAGCCCATTCAAAGAAGATTCAGAGGTGAAGAAGGAAGTAAAAGCAGGAAAGGAGAAGAGAAGAAAGGAAACTCCTGGTCCAAATCCTCCCCCACTCCCCAGGACAGGTGACAGACTGAAGGTTGGCTTGTCTTCATATGGGTTGAACAAGATAGCAGGAAGGACCTGTGAGACAGAAACAGTCTTACAATGTATAGCGATGCTCTGAATCTAACTATGCTTTCAGACGTGAACTGAAGTCTGGACATTTGGACATTCCTCGCTCTATATGCAAATAAACGTATACATAATCTCTGTTTGGAAAACCAAATTATTTTGTTTTAACCCAGTGTGAGATTATAGCACCTGATGTCACTGTGTTTGAGTGTGTGTCGTATGTGTGTTGAGACAAGCGTGCAAGCGCAGTAGAGATAGGATGGGCTGAATAAATCTGAGTACACCAATTTAAGAAAAGTATCAGTCATCATGTGGTTTTCAGTATTAACATTGTGGTCATGAACAAATCATGTATGGACACAGTGTCCCGTTAAACTGTTTTGATTCATTGGGAAACTGTAGCAGGTCAGAGACGTCAGCTGATGCCACATGCGTCCCAGACCACTTCTGAATGTGGTTTCTGTGATCAGATCTCAGGACATATTCGGGTGTGTTCAGACCTGAACTTAGTGCTGATCACTTGTGATTGAAACAGTACGGATGTTCATACCAGGTCTGAGTCAACACAGATATACTCTCTGTTGTCAATGGACTGTAACAATGTAATCACTGTGAACCTGTCCATGTTGGCCCTGCATAAACACACAACCAGTCTGTATCGAAACACACCTGTGTGGGCGAATGGCAGTGTTTGCGCCTCGCTGCTGTCTCCTGTTCACTTGTCCACAATGAGCATCAGGTGCTGGGCTTGGCAAAACTCCCCTCCAAGCCTCGCAAACGCCATACATGTGCAGCCTGGGAGACACAGGAGGAAATGGGTTGTCATGTGTTATATGATACTGCAGACTTCCACCGTGTCACCAGGTGGGGAGCAGGGCCTCCTGACACACACACACACACACACACACTTACTATGCTGAGAGCTGAGGAGATGGTTCATTGAGCGCACACAGGAGAATGTGACGGCTCCGGGATGTAGACACACCATTGATGATGATGCTGCTGCTGCAGATGTTCTGGCTCCTTGCTGACAACGGCCCGCTAGCTCAACGCTGACCTGCTGCATAGGAGAAGACGTGTTAACATTGGACAGTTAGCATCTACCTGCTTTACCTGTCTATGAGGAAATGTAGCAACACCAACCTCCCTGTACAAGCATTTCGCTAATGTGTAGCCAATGTGTTGCTATCCCATGAACGGAAGGATTAGCTTTAGAGTGTGATTAACGGGACATAAAATATCCCACGAACGTAACAGACCACAACGTTTAAAAGCTAATGAGTACAGTTAGCTGAGATGCTATGAACAATGTGATGTATCACTGTCTGCAAGTTGCACACAGTTTAGCACAGTGTGGCTATGAAGTAATATAAGTCTCATTACTTACTCAGTGTTTAGCTAACCGCTTGTTTCTGACTGCACGTCTGTAGCTGCGTCTCGAAACAACCAGCTGACCGTTAGCATTAGCCTCTGCCATGTTCTGACGTTAAATCATCAACTAGCTACAGTATAGCTGAGTGCTAGCTGCTTTTTCAAGGCTCTTGTTATAAAAACAAACAGTGTATGGCGAACCCAGCTTAAGATCACATACAAACACGTGGTTTTAAAAGACTAGACAGCTTCTGTCATCAGAGGCTCCGCCGGTCAGGTCATTACAAACCAGGTCAACCACCATGATCCCAGGATAAACCGCGAGCTAACACTTCCAGGCTAAGAGCAGCGGCAGGTTTGTAACAAGAGCCGACTGACAGCAGCCGCAGCGGGTTGTTTAACAACAGGAGCAGCGCCACGTTCGACGTCCGAAACCCCACGGTGGTTTCCAATACTTACAACACGTAGTAGTTTGGCGAGAAATCCAGACGCTTCTTCTACTGACAGAGGAGAGTCTGCGAAGGAGACATGTTGAACAGAGGGGGTCGAAGTAGCCACAATAAACCCAACAGCTTCCGGTGCCAGCATTTTGAAAATAAAACAGTAACGATGTCTTTCACGTTGCATCGTTAAAGATGAGGAAACGGCGCTTTTAATTTGTAGGCCACCACTCTTTACTTCCTGTTATGGTGAGTCTGCCTCCACAACACACACTGGTCAGACTGTTTATTCAAGCCTGTTGTTGAGACTGAGATTTACTGGAGCTGATTTTCTCACATTGACTCAATTAAAATAAATGTGATGTATAGTTTTATATTGAGGTCAAACACACTGATGTTGAAGTCGTGGCTGCCATCTACTGTTTATCACGTTCACAGCAACACACGTCAATGTGTATGTCAATACGGTGACCCTGAGGGGGAAAACACAAAGTTCATGTTTTTTATATTTACAATATTTGACGTCCAACCCTCGACCCCCTGGTTTGATCACATTGTCTGGCATGTTTTAAACTATAAATGTTCACCTCTTCCCTTTGAGACAGAAAGATAGAAAGATAGACAGACAGACAGATAGATAGACGGATAGGATGGAAAATTCTTGTGTTCCAGCAGTACAGACATGTGCATGTGCAATAAGTACAATTCGTTTTTTTATATATTTTTTCCTACATAAAAGAGCATACATGTTGGACGGTGACTGAGTTGTTCAGACAGAGCTAAATTGAGGCAAAGTTAAAAGTTAAAACAGAGGAGACTGGTTGAATGTTTCAGTAATCAAGAAGCATAAGAACATAAAAACTTAAAACAGTGCAAGAGTAGAAGTGGTACAGTGATAAAGTGATAAAACAGTGCAAGTAGTAAGTGATACAGTGATGTGCAAAAGAGACTAGCCACTATATACAGTCTGCAACATCTACTGATACTGAATACCAGTCATTATAAATAGCAGTGAATAAATTAAATTTACAATGCAGATGGAATAAGAGACTAATGTAGTTGAGTTAAACAGTCAGTTGTTACAATTGTTACAGGGAGTTATTATAAAACCTGATGGCGGATGGCAGGAATGACTTCCTGAATCTGTCCTTGTGACAGCGGAGTGGTCTGAGTCTATGTGAGAATGTGCTCCTCTGAGCCTGGAGGATGTGGTGGATCCAGAGAGTGAGTGAGAAAGATGACAGATGACTTTAACAATCCCTGGGGACAATTGATTTGTCATTGTGGCTGCCAGTAAAAACAAAAGTAGAGTAATGAAATTCAAAATACACAAATAAATACAACACAGCTCTCAGTTAAGTAAGGTTGCAGTATTAAAATGTCTCAGAAGGCTAAAATAGATGAAATTAAATCTAAATACAAATACAAAACAAGATTGTCTTATGTATAGGGGGCTCAGTACAAATGTTTACAGTGCTGATAAATATGATTAATGTGGTCCACTTTAGTAATCACAGTGATCACTGATGGAGGTGTAGATGAGTAGAAAGTTACTTCATCAGATTCTCTTATTTGTAACACATCATGTTTTTATCTGAAGTAATTTGATTCTTGTACTTGAAGAACACATTCCTACTTGATTTTGTCTCGTGTTCTGTGGGATTAGCTTTGCATGTTCTTGTACACATTCACATTTTACAGTAATTGTTTCATCTTATTCTATGCAGTTATTCACTTTCAAAGAAACTCAGTATTGAATGAAATGTAATTAAGTAGTCATACTTAAAGTCATCGGACAGTGTACAAACACGTTTTGCATAACATCCCACAGGCCTCTCGGACCTGTGTAACAACATAGAGGGTGTGGCATCTCTTGCTCTCTCTTACTCTTTTTAATTTGTTCTGACGCACACACGCACACACACACACACACACACACACACACACACACACACACA